TTGGGATGGGGGGAGGGTAGGGAAGGGGGTGGGGGAGGTGAGGGGAGATGTAGGATGAGTGAGTTGGAAGTGTTAGGGGGTCAGGGGAGGATGGGTGGTGGAGAAGAGTTGGGAAGGGGGAGGGGGGAAAATCTCGGAGGTCCCGTATGCAAGTTGCGCACTTTTAAGATCTCTGGTTGGTTCAGAATCGATAAGAGTAGGCTTCGGTCGCCACCCAGTCAAATTAACAAATTTCTTACCAACTGAAAATGTGTTCTGCGTGCTCGTATAATCTTACGCTGTTCCGAGTGCCGTAAAACACTCTAAAAAATAAAAGACAACTAAAAAAAAAGACAGCAAAAAGACAAGAAAAGATGAAAGAAAAAAAAAGACAAACAAGAAAAGATGAAAGAAAAAAAAAGACAACAAAAAAGACCCCCAAAAAAGACACAAAAAGATGAAAAAAGATGAAAAAAAAGACCCAAAACAAAAAAGAAAACCCCAAAAGACAAAAAAAAAAAAAACATTTAAAAAAACCCCAAACTCTACGTAAAAAAAACCCCTGAACACTCCAAGCTCTTGTGTGTCTTTTGTTGTACACAGGCGGCGCCCGAGGCCGGCAACGCGGCGGATCCGACCCAGTTCCAACCGGGCCAGGAGCTGCAGATGAACACACAGGCCAAGAGGGCGCTGGTTCAGAAGCAGGAGTCCGTCATCAAGTCGGCACTGGAGCAGGAGGAGAGACGTCTCTCTTTCCAGGTCAGTCAAACGGTTACTAAAAATAGAACCTCTCTCTCCCACGGTATTTTGTAAAACTGTTACTAAAAATAGAACCTCCCTCTCCCTCAGTATGCTGTAAAACTTCCTAAAAATAAAATATCCCTCTCCTTCAGTATTTCGTAAAATGGTTACTAAAAATAAAATCCTCCCTCTCCCTCAGTATGCCACAAAATGGTTACTAAAAATAAAATCTCCCTCTTCTTCAGTATGCCGTAAAATGGTTACTAAAAATAAAATCTCCATCTCCCTCAGTATGCCGTAAAATGGTTACTAAAAATAAAATCTCCATCTCCCTCAGTATGCCGTAAAATGGTTACTAAATATAAAATCTCCATCTCCTTCAGTATGCCGTAAAACTGTTACTAAAAATAGAAGCTCCCTCTCCCACAGATGTGCAACGACTCGGCCAAGCACGAAGTGTCCATCAA